GTGATATTACAGCAAAGCCACCGCCAGTGCCCAAGAGGACTGGTACCCTGCCCTGGCACTGCCTTTGTAAGCTCACTGCTGGCAGGAGACAGGGCAGGTTTTTGCCTAAAGAGCCCTCCAGCTTCTTGCTAGGATGGGCTGCTTGTACCACTCTGCTCTTTCCGTGACCTCGTGCACTTCTGTATTCCTCTCATTAAAGACGAGCCTATCCCATAGCCTCCCTGCTCCGTCGGTTGTGTTGAGGCCTGAGGAGCCGTCAGTCACTGGGGAAGGTGAGCGCTGGATGCAATCTGCCCGGATCCCTGCAGAGCTGTAAGGCTGCTGCCTGTCCCGGTAGGACACGGCTCTGCCAGCACAGGCAGGTGCCCATGGCTCTGCCACCTCTCTGTGCCAGGATCTAAATGACATCCGGGTGCATTGCTGAAGCTGAGCGTGGGGGACCTTGTGAAGGGAGAGGGTTGCTGCCCCTGAGAGTAGCAGAGGCTTTGTCTCATTTAATTCCCCTTCCAGCATGGGGAGCAGGGACACCAGGAGCACAGCGACACTGAGCAGGGTCTGTGTCACCCCTGCAAAGTGCCTGCGTGCCTCAGTCCCCTGGACAGAGCTGGGGGTCTGGCAGGAGGGAGGACAGGAGGATGTTTCGTCTGCACACGCAGGGCCTGGCATCTAATCGCAGTCTCCAAACTGCAGGAGCTTGCCAGGTCGCTGGCACCCAGCCAGCCCGCAGGTTGCCTCCGTGCTTGGGGGAGTGAAGCCTGAGCAAAGGAGCAAGCTGTGCTGGCTCCCCAGAAGGGCTCGCGGGGGCTGGGCTCAAAGAGGAAACGGAAACAGCAGAGGGGACAAAAACTGCAGCAGAGACCGTGCAAAACACGTGGCAGCGGAGCTGGCCAGGCAGCGAAGGCCAGTGTGGCCGTCCGCACTCCCGCCCCTCTGCCTTCCTGGGGGGCTCTTGCACCCTCCTCTGCCTCTGCAGCCCGCTGGAGAGTGACTCGCCTTCGTGACCAGGCCAGGCATCTGTCGGGGGGCATTTGGCAACCCCTCTTTCAGGCTAACTAGCCATCCCAGTGTGCTGAGTACAGGATGCAGACGAGCAAACGTTCAGAGCCTTTCCCAGCTCAACCACCTTCCCAGACACTGAGCAGTACGGGGTCTCCCCACACCAACCCAGCTCCTCCTGGCAAGGTCCCCGCTCCCCAGCTCTGAGCAGAAACAGCTAATGTGGGCAGATATGGCCAAAACGGGAGGCAGATAACAGACACGATCACCTAGCAGTTAGAAACCTCAGAAACCAGGTCACCCTCCGTGTGCCAGTTGCACACACCTGTAGGTTGTGTTTTCCTGCTTTTCTAAGAATCTGGGTGGCAGGTTTTAGAAAGCACCAGGCTGCGAACTGCCTTGTGACTCAGTGGTATAAAGTAAGCACCAAAAGAGTTAAAAAATAAATAAATGAAATTATAAAAATCAGTAAAACCTGGCCACAAATCTGTGACATGTCTGACACAGCAAACAACACTTAGGCTGTGCAAAGCTGTGGGTGCACCTTACAGGAATCAGTGTGTGAGCAGCCTTGCGGACAGCAAACAAGAAAAGGACCTGTGTTCCTGTGGTGTCGGCCCTTTACACGATGACATGTTCTTCACAGGAGCAGAATAATGTCTTAGCACTTTTTCTGCTCTAACCTGCTCCAGTGAAGGGTGAGTCTGGCATGGCCATTGCAGGTAGAGTATGCCAATACCCGCCTCTGGTCTGCAAAGCCATCTGGGTAGGACCTTATAAAAAAAGTCACCAGCAGCCTGCCTAGCTGCTAGTGCTTTCATCACCATCAGATCTCAAAGCAATGAGCAGAGGTGGCTAACCACACCCAAAGGGCAGGAGAAACCTGGAGCAGAGTGGGTGGGTACGCTCTGCACAAATCAAAGACACAGCAGGGGCAACATTTACAACTCATCAATTTGTGAGAGGGTCCTCAGCACCTCACTCTTGGGAGGACAAAGAAATAGTTCTGTAGCTGCTAAGCACAGAGGCAGAGAGATGTTGTCACTGGATGGGCGCTGATCCCACTGAGATAAGAAGAGGTGGGATGGCACTGGTTGGGGCAAACTAGGCAAACATGCAGACCCATAAATGGCAGCAGAAGCACCGGGGTGTAGCTCGAAGCAAAATTTCGACCTTGTACACCCAGAGTCGTCCAAGCTCCTCACATCCCATTCGTGGCAATGGGCTGTATGGCTGGGCTGAGCAAGTGTCCCTGGAGCAGTGATGTTTTGCAGAAGCTGAGAACGTGGCCCAGAGTGGTTTTAGAGCTGCCGGGGGTTAGTGCTCTTTGTATCTTGCAATCTCCCTCATAGATGTTCAGGGCCTTGTATGGTAAACCCAGCTGTGCTGCCTTTAAAACCACATCCTGCAGGGTAAGCACAGCAATCTGAAGCATGAAACTTGCTGGGTGTTCGTCTCCCCATGCTGAAAGTCAAGGGTTAAACCACCCCCAGCCCCCATCGCTGCTGCTGTTTCCTTCCTTCGGAGCTGTTGCTCTGCAGAGCAACAGAAACGTGGCTCGCTCAACCAGCGTTAGACCAGAAACGTTCCCAGGCATCACAGCATCTCCTGGGCCCTTCTCCTTAAGTTACTACCTGCCCCATTGCTGCTGCTTTGCAAACCGCAGCTTTTAAAATCAGACAGATTTAAAATCTGTATGCAGAGTGCATGGGACCTCAGCTATTTCACTTGCCTCTGCACAGCAGCCCCAGACCCGCTCCCCCGCTCCTGTTCACCCCTGCCCCGCTCTCAGGCCCTGCTCTCCTAGGCACAGCAGTGCATTTTTGTACGCGTAGTTGTCCCCCTCCATCGTGGAACAGTCTGCTCCCAAACCCCTCGGAGGCTGCTGCAAGGCGAGTCAACGCAGACTCACAGAAGGTCTCACTGCCTCGGACTGCTCCTGACCTGGGAAGTCCCCTTAATAAAAACTGGTTTTCTTGAACAGAGACAAAAACACAGGGGAAATCTTTTCCAATGCATACCTGGGGTTTCTGTCTCCCATTTTATTAATATGTTGCAGTTTTAAAATGTATATAAAAAGGTCAAAATGGATCTTTACCAACGGCAAAGAAGCCCACCATCTCTCTAACAGAACCCAGGCAGAACTCAAGTTACAGAGCTGAAATGGGGAGAGAAAGGGCAGCAGTAAAGGACTGATGACAAGAACCTCAAAGAGCGACAGCTCTGGAAGATGAAACGTGGCCAGCAAATGTACTTGTACACCCCTTAGGGTACAACACACCCAAAGAAATGTGTTTATCCTGGACAACACTATAGAATATCAGTACAAATTGAGCCCAAGAAGTCTCTGGCATGAGAAGGACAGCCTAGCAAAAGGGTTTGATGCTCTCTTGGATTTTGTAGGTCCTGGGCTTTATCTCTGTGGCCCCAGTGCATTCATTTCAATTCCAATGAACCAGCTGTTTCAGAGCAGAGTGCTACTGCTGGGTCTGAGCCAAAGGGTCTCAGTTTCAATCTGGGAAACATGACAATCCCTGTTGTGCTGTCTCAGTCAGAATGCAAAGCTGATCCGCATTGCTAAGTGCGGCTTCAAATCTTAGCTGAAATACCTGAGCCCCACTATTTAATAGTAACGAAGATCTAACACTCAGCTGAGCACTTGGATTTCCTAATAAGAGGGTTTCAGATGGCTTGGGAAGGCACCAAATCCCCATGTGACCCTATGAGGGTGTTTTGCTGAAGGTCTGAAACATAAAGGTCACTGGATGCAAAGTGGTACTCAGCCCCACTCACTTCCTACAGAATAAGGGCTGGGGGATGGACAGGTGTCCTGGTTTCAGCTGGAATAGAGTTAATTTTCTTCCTAGTAGCAGGCATAGTGCTGTGGTTTGGATTTAGTATGAGAATAATGTTGATAACACCCTGAAGTTTTAGTTGTTGCTACCAGTCAAGGACTGCTCTGCCAGGGGCACAAGAAGCTGGGAGGGGGCACAGCCAGAACAGTTGATCCCAACTGCCCCAAGGGCCATTCCATACCATACGGCGTCATGGGCAGTATGGAAACTGGGGGGGTTGGCCGGGGAGCAGCGATCGCTGCTCGGGAACTGGCTGGGCATCGGTCAGTGGGTGGTGAGCATTGGGCATCACTTGCTTTGGATATTATTATTATTATATAGTTATTATTATCATTACTATTACTATTTTACTTTATTTCAATTATTCAATTATTAAACTGTTCTTATCTCACCCCAGGAGTGTTTCTCACTCCTACTCCTCCGATTCTCTCCCCCATCCCACGGGGGCAGGGGCAGTGAGTGATGGCTGCGTGGTGCTGAGCTGCTGCCTGGGGCTAACCCACGACAACAGGTCAGTCTGCATGGACTGGCAGAAGTGCTTCTCCTCTTTTTAAAGGAAAACTGTTCTTTTTGACTGAAATATTTTCATTCAAAGCAGTGGCTTTTCTATGAACATGTACCATTTTGTTCGTAACATACTGACTGCCCCTGTTCCGTTTGTTACAATCCTGGGCAGCAAGGCTAAGATAGGCTATGAACATGAGAGCAGGACAAGGTCAGAGGCCAGTCACCCCGAGAAGGACCCACTCTTCGCCCACTAGCTACCCAGGGAGGCACGGGGAGCAACTGGAAGCACTCAGGGCAGAAATTAAATGGGAGGGAAAACCAGAGCATGCACCTGGAGCAGAGAGAGAGAGAAATGCAAGGGGAAAGGAGGCCAGGAACCACAAGTGAGGCTGCAGTCCTTTAATGAGAAGGGAAACTTCTCTTGCCAATGTGCTCATTTGATTCTTTTCCCTAATATCAGACCGAAGGCCAAAGGAACACGTCAGGGTGGGACAGCGGATGGCAGCAGGGTGCCTGTCCTGTGTAGCTGCCTGGCTTACCCCAGAACGCCTGGGCCTCAGCAGGCCTGCAAAGAACCGGTACCCAGCTGGGCAGAAGCGCTTAGCCCCTCTGCCGCTGTTTTCCAGCCTGTCATCCATGGGAATTTCAGAAGCCCCTGGATTCCAGGCCTGCATACACTTCCCGCTGGCCTTTCCGGATGGGCTGTGGGAATAGCAGAGATGTTAGTTCAGGAATCCTCATTAACACACCCTCAAACAGTGCCAGGGCCTTGGTCCACACAATACGTGGAGAAAACTACACCAGAGAGAGCAGGTGTAGTGCTGCTCTGGTAGCATGCACAAGAAGCTGCAGTTCTGCTCCTGACTCCCTGTCAGCACCAGGAGAAGGGGCTCCACCCTCACCACCTTTTCCTCTGCTCCCGGGAAAGCTTGGAGGCTGACTGGATGCTTCTTCAAAGGAGCAAAAAAGGTAACAGCTACAGATTCCCAGCGCTGGCTATCCCTCCCCAACCAGCAAAGAGAGATGGAAAAAATGCAGGTTCTCCATACCTCATAGTCTGGGTTTGGAACAGGGGGAGGACGCTGCATCTTCTGACCTGCAACAGAGGCAAAGAGAGGTCATCCTTGGAGGTGATTCATATAACAGCACGAGGGACTTTCATGGAGACGATCCCAGGGTAATGCATACCATGGGTCAACTCCCACGGCTTTATTATGAGCTTGGCGCTTTTAAAGACCCAACTGCTGCAGGCAGGAGGCATTGCGATCATTTAGGAAGAAAGCAGCTTTCTTTTAGAAAGGGTAAATTCCTAGCTTTCCTGATTGTGAAAAAATACTTGAAAACAAGAAGGGCCCATAAGCACAGGCCCTGGCTACAGCTCCACAATATGGATAACAGATCTGTGCTCCTCTGCCTCAGCAAGCTGCACAGGCATGAGTACATGATCACATTTCTGTTGAACCCAGCACGCAACATGCACAGTAAGCACACAACAGCGCATTTAGAGCTGCTGCAAGATTTATATCAGCTTTGTGGAGGGAAAAAGTGGCAATGCCTGATCTGCACACAGCCTGGCTGGTGAGCCCCCATGGTTCTTGTCTGACAGGCAGTCTGCTGGTACAAATGTCACCATCAACACTTCTTGAACAAATCTGAACCAGCACCGTAAGGTCACCACCCTGCATCACTTTACCCCGGCATTTATAACGCATTAGCCCCACTGCTGGGCCCACTGGGTCACCAAACTATGGCTGCAGAAGCCAGAAATTCAAATTTATAGTTTTAGTAACACCATGATCTCTAATCACATGTTCTATGTGCGGGCCTGATTCTTGGTCTTTGATTGCTTGAGACAGCAGCTGAGTGGGCCAGGGCCAGGCTGGGTTTGGGGCTACATTTGCAAGCTGAGCATCTGCCGTTTGCTTCAGCACAGACTCAAGGCTGCTGCACAACAGCCTGTGAAATGGCTTCCTATGGGGGGAAGCCTTTGACACAACACGGCAGCCGCACCCGTCCCATACAAGAAGGGAGCCCGGAGCAACAGATGTGGCAAGCAGGAGCATTGTTTGGCGACATCTTGGAGGCTTGGGGGGACAGAGTTGTGGCTTCACCACTCGGCAGGGGCAAGTGTTTAATTTAGTGCTTAGCGGACATCATGGAGAGCAGAGACACCTGAAATATCTCTTACCTCGTGGCCGACCGCCAGCACCAGTGCTCGGTCTCCCCTTCCTGTCTTTGCTGAAGTAATAGACCAGAATCAGCACCCCGAAGGTGATGAGAAGATCCGCAGTGATGATCCCTGTCACTGCCAAGGCATCCAGCTCCTCACAGTTTGCGCACACTGCCAGGAGGAGAGATGAAGGTGCTCAGAGATGGGCACCCTTCCTTTCCAGCAAGGAAAGTCCAGGCCTCACTCATCTGCTTAGTGCTAGCAGAAAAGATACCGTTCTGGGTGGGAAGGAGGAAAGAGCAAACCAAAAGGAAGGGCTGCCATTTCAGTCTGCAAACAGACACAGACTGGGGGCTGGTGTGTGCAGCCTCCTTCACTACCCTCTGCTGTTTGCATGGCCTGAGCCAGAGGGTGCAAAACATCTCCTAGATCATTGCCCTCTGGCTATGCTGGACTCTAAGTCCTGAATCCGGAGCAGCTGCCCACACTTCAAATGGCGCAGAGGCTTACATCACTCTGTCAGGGTGGAGGTCAACTCCCCTGGCTGACGGGTCACAGAAACCAGGCTGTGTGCTCCAGATGGGAGGCTTCCACTCTGCAAGATAAGAAATGCCTCTGGCCTTTGTGACAGACATTAGTCTTGCCTTGTAGCATGGCAGAAACTGTATAAAAAAAGATAAAGCTCCTGTGCTGTGTATGTGGGAACCATTGACTTGCAACCTGCTTGACGACAACGGAAGGGAAAGGTATAGAAAGCAGGGAGACTCCTTTGGCCAAAAATGTGCTCTTGGACTCTTACTGCCCACACAGAGCGGGCAGGGCCTCAGCAGAATCGCTTTCACCCAGCCCAGCAGCACTATAAATCAGGTCTCAGCTCCTAACATGTGTCACTGAAACGCGTACCCTTTATCTTTAGCCTCAGTCTACAGAGCAAGTGCTTTTTCACTCACCTCTGGCATTCAGGTACATTTCATGCTTCTCTCCACCCGACGAACAACTCAGGTTGACAGGAGAGCTGTCATGATTCTCTATAATGTACTTCGCCTCATTGAACTCCAGGTTTTTCCCATTTTGCTGCCACGTTACCTTGTCTTCAGACAAGGGACATGTGATTGTCACCGTGGTTCCGGAAATCTCCACCAGGAATTCTTTAGTGGAAGCTGGGCCAACAAGAAGGGAAACCAGCATTACAAATGGCTTCTGAGCAGGCGTGCCTGCCCACCCTTGATCCCACCATGACAGTTTTCTCTGCAAAATCTTTGATTTCATGGTGCAATGTAAATTCCCTGTGTATGTGTCTTCTGCACGCATGTTTTCCTTTAGCTTTTTATGCTGTTTCTTTGCAACACTAAACAGTATCAAAATACCATCACAGAGTGTTCAACTTTCTGTCGGAGAGCCTGGCCACCTGCCATTCATCGTTCTGTTTATCCATATGCTTGCTGGTCTCTGCAAATGGCCAGCCCTGCTTGGAGACCACTGACAGTGATGAGGGGCAACTCGTATAGCTGAATTTTCTGATTGGTGATGGCAGTAGCAACTAACAAACAGGAGTTTTTTTCCTCCTAAAATACTGCTCGAACTCGAATATTTCTGTCTGCCTTTTAGTCCTCACCTGTGAGGCATCTGCTGTCTTTATAGCATGCTAAATAAAGAATGCTGGTAAAATACACTTACCTTCCTGTGCATCAGTATCATCTCCAAGGGAGAGAATAGTAAGTGTTAACGAACCAGGCCCCTATTACCTTACTGCCTGTTGCTTTTGGAAAATGCCCAACCCTGTGTGGGCATCACTAGCAATACTTAGGGACAATTAATGACAGCCAATTTTTCAAATCAGTGAGATCAGTAACAATTAATGAACGGGGATATTTTCCTATCCTACTGAAAGGGCTAAACCTCTGACAATACCTGACTCGGATGGTTTTAGTTATTTGCTGAAGCAGAGTAGGTAAATAAGACAGATATTTCGAAGAATATGACTCCTTGTCTGGCACAATTAAAACAGATGTTAAGCTCGTTAGGCTTACTGTGTAAAGCAGGGATAACACAGACTCAGGATACCTGTGCCAAGATGAGCACTCAAGGAACTGGTTTCGTAACATTCCAAGGCCAAAGGACTGATGAGCTCATTCAGTGACCATATATGGACAAAGGCGGCCCAAAGTTCAGCCAGTGGACAAGTGAGGAGGACTATCGGAGACCACCGGAGGACCCCCGAAGACCACCAAAGAGGACGACTACGCCTCTGGATTGGACATTTGCATATGTTAATGAGTTCCAGGAAACCTCATGTTTATGTATATGAATTCTTGGGAACCCTGTGAATATGTACGACTTTATAGTATGTAATCTTTGGAAGTTTGCCAAATCGCTGGAGCACTCGCGGTGGAACGATCCCCAGTGCTGCCCAGCGCTGCAATAAAGGATGCCTGCTTAATAGTAACTTTGTTGCTATTGAGTTTTATTTCGGGAACTTTCTGAATACTCCGTTTCCTCCTATGGAGAGGTTCAGACTTTGAGGAATAGTATCCGTGAGTTTTTGTATCACTACAATATTTGCAAAATTCAAATATTTCTCTTTGAGTTTTAGTCCTCACTTGTGGGGCACAGTTGGTATTTTTATCATACTAAATAGTTAGGAATCCAGGTAAAATTCACTTACCCTGCTGAGCTGCGGTGCCAACTGCAAAAGAAAGAATAATAAGAAGTGTTAAGTAATTTACCTACTGATATCATACTCCTTTCCTACTTCAAGGACATCCTTTCTGAACTCAGCTGCTTGAAAGAGATGTTTATACTCCCATATTTTTGCTAACGGCATTAGAAGCATTCTGTTAGCTGAGACAGGATGTTGTTGTGAAATGAAGTCTTTTCCTTTGGAAGCCATTTTTAACACAGACTAACGCAGAATGGAAATTTGAGTAATTTTCTGACCCAGTTTAGAAAAAGGGTTACTGCAAGCTGTACACCCAACAATTTTGCTTTATTATCATGGACCAAAGACTGCTGGAAAATCATGCTTGGTTTCTGCAGTAAGAACCACTGTCCTCTGCAAGAGTGTACTCACTGGAGGATTGGACCCTGATGGTTGTTTTAATGCTGTAAAGCAGTTCATCTATGTGATTTTTCTCTCTTGGTAGAAAACAAGTAGCTCCATTGAAGTCACTGGAGCTGGAGTATTATAGAAAGAGCTTTTAGGCGGTCTGAATCAGACTTGTGATTTACTCTAAAGACATTTGCCCATTGAAAATAATGTAGATCAAGGAATGACCTGTATTCGTGTGTTCAGCACTGTTGTCTCATCCCAGGCAATGCTTGCTTTACAATAGAAGTTAGTTGTAACAAAATTGTAGAGTTGAAATTCCACAGGCATATGGCTTGGCTGGAGAGAACGTGATCTGATGTTTTTTTTCTTTAAGTAAGATGAATTTAAATTTGAAAAAAGAACAGACCATTGCTACCAAGTGTTTTGAATCTTCTCAAAGAATAGCAGTTGGTATTTGCAGCACATTGGCAGAGTGGCTATAGTCTTATTGTAGTATCTTTTCATTCTCTTTCAAGCTTATCTCTCATGGTTACCAGCTGCTTTACAGATACTCTGCGCTTCATCCTAAACCAGCTTTCTAAATGCTGGTCAGCTCAAGCAGGTAACATGGGAATTGCTACCACTCCCATGATATCACAGTGATCTGAAGTTATTTACCCATGATCACAAAATGGTTTAAGAAACAAAAAAATAAACTTAAAAACACAGAGCCTTATAGTTCACACTACTGCAGAAAGCAGCACATCAAGCTCCAACCCTGCTGCGTGAAGTTTGGAGACCGGGTGTCTTAGTGAATCAGCTAGCAAGCAAAAATGCACCAGGGACCTTAGGTTCTTTTCTCTAGCCTGAGAGGGTTGGATTCCCATTTCTTTGTCCCTGCAACCTGCACTCTGAGGGGAACGCTCACACTGGAGAGCAGCAGCTCCACAGGCACCATACATGCCAGCTGTGGAAGATACTTTGCAAACCCAGTCGCGCGCCCCTGTGCTTTCTCCTCTGCAGCCCTGGGCAGCCACCCTCCTGGTCCCCGTGGGCTCCTGGCCAGCGCTACTCACCCACACAGAGCAGGAGTCCCAGGAGAGGCAAGGACCGCTCCAACCTCATCCTTGTGTTCCTCCTTCTCTTGCTCTTCTCTACCACATCAGATTGGCATCACTGAGGTTGGCTGCGAGGGAAGAAAGAACACATTGGCTTTTCAAGTTGTCGCTTACAAGAAAGAGGCCCAAGATTCTTTCCCAGAATTGTGTACGGCAGTGACCTGAGCAGTGCTGGGGAGACTCACTGTTTCCAGTGAAACCTGCAAGCAGCCAAGAAAGACACGGAACACGTACGATAAAATAAGCTCGTGTCAGGAAGTGCGGAGGCTCAAAACGTCTTCACAGAACGTCATTGACAGCAAGGGGTGGCTGCTCTGCACCAGCCCAGCTCAAGTCTTGGGAGACCTGTTGTAACCACCCTAGGAGCAGCAGGAGGGATGAATGAGCCTGGATTCGATTTGCCATCAGGACCTTCCTAACAACTTTTCAAAGGGAGTGTTTCAGAAGTTCAAACTACTGCAAGTGACTTAACATAGGAGGGAAGAAACAAAGGAACCAGAGATGCTGCAAGAAGCTCAGCACCTACAGACACTGTATGGCCAGCAGAACTGAGCCTGTGAGTGCCAGGCTGTAAAACTCAGGGGGTTTGGTCACTGATGGTGCAATCTGGACTCTGCTTTTGTCATTTTGCCTAACACAACCCGTTTATCCCTGCTGCCTCTTCAAGAGCGGCGTTGGCCAGCTCCTCACCCAGGAGGAGCTCCTCTGCACACACACTGGCAGCGAGAAAAAAAGCGGTGGCTAAGCACGGCCACCCCTGCTGCAGGCCTGTGACCTGAAGCGAATGCTCCGCTCTGACAGATGCTCGGTGGCACGCTCTCCCGTTAGGAGGGAACTTGCTTAACTGCGTTGCTGTTTCTCTTCGGTTTCAGTATGAGGTGCAAGAGCAATTGTACATTTTCATGCAGAAACGAGTCATGCTCGTCTTATGAATGGCACCTACGATAAAATCAGCTTTCTGTCTTTAAATCATATTTACGTCTACTCGCCAGCCTGGCAGCGCTCACGAAAGGTGCCTGCTGGGGGGGCTCAGGCTGCTCGGAGAACAGCTCGGGGAACACGGTGCCTGCTGGGGGGGGGCTCAGGCTGCTCGGAGAACAGCTCCGGGAACGCGGTGCAGCACCCCCCCCCGA